GACTTGTGTCATGCAGATGGTGGATAGGCTTTAAGGAGTCACGGGGTGAGTTACTCTCTGCAGGATTCCCAACCTCTGAACTGCTCCCTTTAACTACTGTATTTACATGGCTAGTCCGGTTCAGTTTCTGATCAATGGTGACTCTGAGAATGTTGATAATCAGAGTTTCAGCGATGGTAATGCAACTGAATGTCAAGGGACCATGCTTGGATTGTCTCTTATTGGAGATGATCATTGCCTAGCATCTGTGTGGTGTAAACCTTACTTGCCACATATCAGAACAAGCCTGGGATAACGTACAGGTTTTGTTGCAGTTGAAAATGGACTGCTTCAGTATCTCAGTCGTGAATGGTGCTGAATATTGTGCAATTATCAGTGAACATCTCACTTCTGACCTTATGATGAAGGGAAGAACATTGATAAAGCACCTGAAGATGGTTGGATCTAGGATACTACCCTGAGGAACTCCTGCAAAGATATCCTGGAGCTGAGATGACTGACCTCAAACAAAGACAATAATTTTTCTTTGTTCTAGGTATGGCTCCAACCAGTGGAGTTTTCCCTAGATTCCCATCGACTTGTCTTGCTAGAGGTCCTTGATGTCACACTTGATCGATTGCAGCCTTGATGTCATGGGCTGTCACTCAACCTCCCCTCTGGAACTTAGCTCTTTTGTCCATGTTTGAACCAAGGCTGTAACAATTTCAGGAGCTAAATGGCCCTGGCAAAACCCAAACCTGGCATCACCCAACATGTTATTGCTGAGTAGGTGCTGCTTGATAGCACTGTTAATGACATCTTCCATCACTTTGCTGATGATTGCAAGTAGATTGATTGGGTTGGATTGGATTTATCCTGCTTGAGTGTACAGGGCATCAATCTTGATCCTTTCACAAGTGGGAATAGTTTTCCATATTTATGGTTGTCCAGACTCATGTTTTTCTTTTAAATGAAGCTTTCATCAAATCATCTTTCAGCCTTCCCTTCCTCAAGGAAAACAGGGTCAACCTCTCCACTCAATCTATTGAACCTAAGTTCATGATTCTTTGGACCATTCGCATGAATCTTTTCTGTACTCTCTCTGATACCATCCCATACCTCCAAATGTACGGTGTCCAGAACTAGATGCAGTACTCTAGGTGAGGCCAAACCAGTGCTTACACAGGTTTAACAATCTTTTTGGTCCATATGTAGTCAAGGTAATATAGTCTTCATTGGCCAAGAAGAGGATTTTTTTTTTTTTTTTTAAAAACTCACTGGAATTGTGAATGTTGGAATTCTGTACCACGGAGGGCTGCGAAAGCTTAGTCTTTGAGTACGTTTAAGGTGGAGATGGATAGATTTCTGATTATCAATGGAGCGCAGGGTTATGGGGATTAGGTGGGTGAAAGGCATTGAAATGTTCGATCTGGCTGAATGGACTCCTATTCCTATGAAATAAAACAGCCAACAGGTAAATGGAAAACATTGGGTGAGAGGCACTAAAGATGATGAGATTGATTTGAAGTTATAGAAGATTCCTCAGACTCTAATTACTCATTGTCTAATCAACACTGCTCCAACTGAAATAAACACAGACACAACTAATGTCCAGAAACAGCACAGTATTTATTCCAGGTACTGAGATTACAGATTAATAATTTCTCTGCATTGCAGACTGATCTGAATGTTTATACACCTGTATTTACACATTTAAAACCTTTAATCTGTGACAGGTATTTACAAGATCGAGATCACATTCACATCTCTTACATTAACAGTATAGTTCATTTTTAATTTAAAAAAAAAGCTTTTTGTTCAAAGAATGACAGATTTACATGCATCAACTCAACCACGAAACACCCGAATTCCCGCTAGATGGCATTTTCACTCCTCTGACCTGTCTCTGAGCATCTGCCGGGAACACAGGAAACATTCAGGTCTGGTTTTAATCTACAGGCCCTTAGGAGAGTGGGAAGTCTGGTGTGGGTCTGCTGCTTATCACTTCAGCTAAAATGGAGGTCTTAAGGAAGGTAGGCAACTTGTCAGCCCTCCCCCATGAAGTTAGCAGTTACACAGACACACACTGCAAGTCATGTCCACCTCTCTAATCTCACTGGACTCGCCCTTGCGCTTCAGTTGAACATTCTTTGGGCAAAATAGGTTGATTTCTGTTCACGTGCACCGAGACTGAGGACCAAACACACACGCGCGCGCACACACACACACACACAGAGCAGATTAAATTTCCACAGAGAACAAGACTCCACAGCTCTCCCCACTTGTGTGGAATTGGGAGCAGAGGGGAAGGATGGGGCGAGAGGTAGCTGGGCTCTGTTAACATGGAAAACCATCCAGTTAACCTCCATTTTCCTGGGGATCAGACAGGAGCAAGAGGCTTCAGAATCCATTGCAACCACTTCTGGGATAGTGAGATCACACCTGGGTCACTTGTGAAATGATTAAAGTGAAGGACAATATAACCAGCTCTTAATGGAATGTAAAATCAGAATGTGCAAAAGAAAATCATTTGAATTTATACCTCAATATACAGATAAATTACATTCACTATGAATTGACTCTTTGCCTTTCGTAACAAAACTGCAGTCTAATCAAATCTAAGTTTAAAAGGTCAAGCTTAAATTTCATCCCCGCCTGGCATGGTGCTTGTGTTTCCTTCAAAGTCAGTCTCCAAACTGGAAGGAGGCCCCCGCTATTTGGGGGACGCTCTCTCCATCTGGCAGCGTACTTTGTGTGAAAAGTGAATTCTCAAACATCCCCTTACAGAAAGGTTGGAGCACAAGTCCTGAAGAAAGGAAGAGAGAGAGTGTGAGTAAAGAGAGAGAGTAAAGAGAGACCCAGAAGGAAACACCAACTCCTGGTCACTGGGGCAACAGCCACCTTGCTGTTGAGCTTAACAATGGATATTTTTGGAGGCAGAGAGACACCCTAGAAAGAAAGCAATAAATTCTATCAGCAGCAAAAAGTCAGGCACTAATAGCCCTCTGTAACTGGGCCTGAGGGTGTATACAGTGTCCAGATCCTTACATCTGACCCAAGTATTAACACAGGGTGACTGGACCCTTGTGGCCAGTGTGGGAAAGTTGTCTTTTCTGCATTGAAATGCCTCTGTCAAGCCGGTTCCAGCAGTGGCTCCAGGAAATGCAAATTGGATAGAACAACTGATTCCAGCAATGCTCTGGTCCTAGAACACTAGAAGCACTGTGGGTTGGATTTCAGGGAATGCTTTTTGGGATAAGGCTGGCACTACAGCTTTTTTATAATTGGAAAGCTCCAAGTCAAAGGAATGATTTGTTTTTTTTAAACGCAATGCTGCCCTTACAGTCAGAGCTACTAAAAACCTTCACCATAAGACCACCACCAGAACCTCTGCAAGAATCAGCTCTTACCCCACAGTGAGGGACTTCAGTTAATGCAGCAGGGCCCAGCACTGATGAGAGCTGAACAAAGAGAGCAGCTCACAGGCAGCTCCCTCACCAGCACGCAGGGGAAGGTGTGCACACATATCTGCGTGTGAAAATCATCTGTCGACTAGTAGGTGCCAAATCTGTACAGATACAAACACTGTATAAACAGACACATGCACACAAATTCATGCGCACATACACACACACACACAGACATGGATACACAGACAGATATACCCTGGGCAAGGTCAGGGATGAGATTAGTAACCAGTGCTAAAAGAGAATGTAATGTTGAACTCTGACTGAGCTTAACCCACAGTTGCATAATGCTGTCAATTCATTGTGTATGTTCACAGGCAAAAGATGGCTACTGGAGAGTACCAATGGTCAATGTGTCCGAGACCCCTGGACAACTATCTAACACATGGAAAAAAATCAGAACAAAAGAAGAGAGACAGAATACAAATGGATGGACATTCTTGTTGCTATTTTGAGTTCTGAAGGTATTCTCCCAGCTCACCATGGACAATCCTCACTTAGCAAGCCCCAGATCTGATGTTCAGATGATCGTTTATGAAGGTACACTTTTACAGGGTGTCTGAAGCTGCAAAATATGCCTTTCTCAACCAGTGGGAAAAGTGTCCGATTCACCATGTGACACAGAGGAACCTGATCTGGAGGCCACTCTGAATACCTTCCTTTCGGAGATTGCCACTCATTTGACAGTTTTAAGTTAGTCGTGTCTCTTTGCAATAAACATAGATAACTACCCCAATCCAAAACCTATAACACACAAGACAAGCAGACAGCTTAGCAAACAGTACGAGGGGCTTGTCCCCAAAGGAGGAGATTCACACAGAGTGAATCAGACATCACTCTGATATTCACCCTCTGCTCTGACAGTACTCTGATGGATAAGCCACACTCCTTGATTTGCTCCAACTGCTTCATAAACACACAGTGTTTCTTCAGAGAGGCTCGCTGAGTTTCAATGCTCCTTTAGAGACGCTCCCTATGTTTCCAGTGCTTCTTTAGAAATGCTCCCTGCTCAGTTTATCAGTGCTTCCCTTTCGGGATGCTCCCTGCTATGTTCTGTAGCGCTCCTTTAGAGACACTCCCTGCTCTGTTTATCAGTGCTCCTTTAGAGACGCTCCCTGCTTGTGGCAATATTATCTTTCTTTGGTGAGGGTGGAGTGGGGGAAAGAAGTGGGGTGGGGGGGGGGGGGGAATCTTTTCCCAATTAACTTTCCTTTAATGAATGCATTTCGTAGCTGTGGGCACAAGAATGTTGAAGGCAGCAAAACATATGTTCTGAAGAAGGTGGTGGGGTAGGCTGGACAGAAGGAGGTAGTCAGGGTTAGGCTTTGGGGAGGGCAGGGAAGAGGGTGGGTTTGGAAGGGGAGATAGGCTACAAGAGAGCAGGGAAGGGGGTAAATCAGGGTCAGGCTAGTTGGGTGAGGGGGCGGGGGGGGGGGGGGGG